CTGATAATGTTAAGCAATCGGCAAGAAAACTGCATCTTGGACGGGCATTTGTCTTTCAACAGGATAACGACCCTAAGCACACAAGCAAATCAACAAAAAAATATTTTGCTACACAGAAATTGAGAGTGTTGGAATGGCCTTCCCAAAGCCCAGATTTAAATCCAATTGAAAATTTATCGAGGGAACTCAAGAGGCGTGTTCATAAAAGAAGCCCCAGCAACATCGAAGAATTGAAGACTATTGCCATGGAAGAGTGGCACAAGATTCCTACTAAAACATGCCAACACCTCGTAGAAACATACAAGAAGCGTCTGTCTGCTATCATTGCTGCCAAGGGAGGTCACACAAAGTATTAATTTAGAGTTGCCAACAATTTATATGCTTTTTTTCAAAATGTTGCCATTACTTTTGCTTTTGGTGTTTTTCTAATAAATATAAATACAACAAAGATCTAACGTTTTACTATCGGTTATGCACAGTAATTAGATGTTCTTTGATCAATTTAACTGAAAATAAATGCAGAAATTGCAATAAATGCTTCAAATTATTTAATTTCTCAAATTAAATATTTTTAAGCGTGTTGCCAATAAATATGCGCGTAACTGTAGCTCTTCCGTCGAACTATGGATTTTATAAAAGAATGATATACTGAGAACGATATCAAGGTTAATTGAGCGCAGTTTTTCGTGTACTGCAAATCAAGTTGTAAGTATCTCTATAGTTACGAGCCTCAGTAGCATTTCTTGTATGGTTGCGAATTCATTTCTATGCATCTATTGTTTACGAGTCGCAATGTAGTCTCCCTTCCTAGTTCAATAAACGCAACTTAATATTTCTGTGTATACTTTGTACTGTATCGCTGGTATATATATGTTTCAATTATTGTAAAAGTGCTAAAAAGCAGCATTTTGTTATTTTATTAACAATTAGCCTTTTTAGCGCATTTTCTCACCTATGAAAAAAATGCACTATTGTGCTCGCCATGTCCATCTATCCGTCCGTCTGTCTTTCTGTCTGTCCGTCCGTGACTTCACGTTTTTGTTGACGAGAAAATGCGCTCTCTGTCACTCACTGCAGTGAGTACTGAATTATATTTTTTAATAATATACATCTATAGTACTCACAATGCGTTAAAAATTGAGAAGGTTCAATATTATACTACTTCTGTCCAAATGTATACGACTTAACTGTCCAAATTTATACTACTTCTGTCCAAATTTATACGACTTCTGTCCAAATTTATTGTAATCGCAATTTTTCACATGTACGCTTCACGTAATCTTTCTGTTTAGACCTTCAGTCATCCGACCGAAGTTTACCTGGAGATTATTGTCATTCGTAGTCAAACCTCTTTAGTGGCGAAATACTTCGGTGAGTTTAGTCCTGCAATTTATTAGTCTTTCATTATTGATTCTGATATGATCCATTTTTTTTGGTTAACTTGGATATAATTTTGCTTATATTTGTTTATCTTGTGTAGTATGATAGTTAATATTTCTGATATCATTCTTACAGAAACTATGTTTTCAAGATTACCCTAATAAAACTGCTTGAAACCTGAGTGTCGAAATTTCGCCTAAGCCACTATAGGGCTTAACATTTATACTACTTCTGTGTAAAATCTATACGACTTCTGTCTAAATTTATACGACTTCTGTCCAAATTTATACGACTTCTGTCCAAATTTATACGATTATACGACTTCTGTCTAAATTTATACGACTTCTGTCCAAATTTATACTACTTCTGTCCAAATTTATACTACTTCTGTCCAAATTTATACTACTTCTGTCCAAATTTATACTACTTATTTCCAAATTTAGACTACTTCTGTCCAAATTTAGACTACTTCTGTCCAAATTTAGACTACTTCTGTCCAAATTTAGACTACTTCTGTCCAAAAAAGAGGATCCGAAAAGATAAAGGGGGCAAATTCCAAGTGCTGAACTCATACGCAAATCCTGCACTGGCATGCCAAAACTGCAATTTCTTAATTATTTTTAGTTTGCAAAGGAACAGAAAAATATGTAGAACTCCTCAAGAATGTTGACTGAAAACATTTTAACCGCTTAATTTAATGGACTTAGTGGCTAGCATTTTTTCAGTAGCAAAATAAATGATCTAATTCTATTCGTTTTTTTTAACGTTGAGTACTCAAACAGCTGGAAAAAGCTGAGTTGGTGTCTTCTTAAAATGTCGTAAAGCGACCACAACCTAGGACATAATTATCAGCTAAACATTAAACTTTGTGATATAAATTCTGGGAAGCTTGAGGGTCGATAATTCCATGATTAATTCCAGGCCTAGCACCACATCGAACCCGTTGCAAGTCTAGTAGCTATTTCAAGCTATCGACAGTTTGGAAAAGATCTGGTCAAAGGACCTGTTTTTTAGATATAATGTGGACACGTCAAGAAAACTACAAGAATCGGCGACAGGCCACATCAGGCCTATTCCTAAGCGCCGACGCCACTTTGCTATGCTATGATTTGATGGTGACCTCATGTACGACGAAATTAAATTTTCAAATTTTTTATTTATATATCATTCAAAACAAATTTTATATTTTTATTAGGTTCAGCTACATGATTAATTCAAATATTTAATTTATTCAATCCTTTAGTGATTTCATTTGTCATGAAAAAAATAATTTCAGTCAATAAAAAAATATTACAGTTAATCATGAGTGCTTTAAATAATTTGTTAATACTTATCTATGGAAATTTTTGCATGCAGGTGACCTGTCAGGCCATCTGCTGAAGGTACGTGACCTGTCATCATTCACATTCAAATTTAATCCTTCCACGCGACGCGCGTCACGTAAGCCAATTTTAGCTCCTGAGGCTGTCATCTGATTAGTTCTTAATATCTTATTTCTATAACTGATTTCCCTTATTTGCTCTATCCAACATTGTTAGTATAAACAATGTCAAAGTTATTATTTTAAACTGACTGACAACTCTGAAAACATTCTAAACAATTTACAATGGCCTTTACCTGGTATCTCTAAGCAAAATTTTAATAAGTGGCATTGTATTTTTGGCCGACGGCTCCAATGTATGACCTGCACTTGCAGAAAAAGTCGCTCGGAACAAGAGTTTTTGTGTACAATTACATTTGCAGAAAAAAGCCGCTCGGAACAAGAGTTTTTGTATGCCATTTAATGCAGCGCTAGCCCCTCACACGCTTACTACAAGCCAAGAATTGACTCGTGATGCACGTGTGAGCTAGTGACCTGTAGAAAGTGAATTCTAAGAGACTCCATTTATTTGAGAACTCAAACGAAAACAGGAAAAGTTTCGAATATATTTTACTCTGAATTTTATTTTTAATTGATTCTTCTTGAACCTCGACTTTGACGTGCGACTGCGATAAATTTCTAATATGTTGTAATTTTGAGTATTCAAGCTTGTGAACTCAATCTTTTTGACCGCACACTAGAGCTAGCACGGCTAGTTACACTTCTTACGCGAAGACAGGTGAGTCATTGTGATGTGTTTAATCCGCAATCCATTAACTGGTACATCCTATCTTGGACTCCAACTTACAATCCATAAACAATTAAGCTATGATCGAAGAATCAAATCCTTCCGCATTCAAAAATTCATTTTAAAAACCTTTATAAAATATCCACGTGTGAAGTTTAATGGTTACTTTTTGTAAGCAATCATGCATATAATTTTCAGAATTAGGGAATTTGAAATAGCTTAGAATTTGAATGTCTATTTTAGGGTAAATAGGATAAAAAGCATTCTTTAATTTTAACAACTAGTAGTCTAGAAGGAGGTTCACATTAGAGTGAAGGAAGTCTCTTCAATTAACCTCCAACTTTCTCCAGCTTATGAGGCACGAATAAGGTTGGATCACTAATGCGCTCAATCATTATTAGCGAGGATTTTTTATTATTAACAACAAAACTATTATTGTTTCGTTCTTAATAACTAAATTATTGTTAATTTTGTTCAAAATATTATTATTATTAGAAACAACATTTCATTATTAACAACAAAACTAAACTATCATTTGAGGTTCTCTGTCAGCCTACAATATAATTGATTCAATAAAACACGGGTATACTAATTAAGAAGTTTAAGGTCTTTAAATATTTTTCCCATGGTCTATTTGTATTTAACTATATTTGTGTATATCTACGACGCTTCGTTTTGTGTTGGTGCAATCGTATGTGTGTTGTAAATTACTGTTGTTCAAAATAAATTATTTATAGCAGAAATCTTTCGACGCATGCTGTACCTGCAGTATAAATTACTGCCTTCTAGGAAAAACGAAAAAAAAAAACATCCAAAGAGTCTTTCAAAGCCGTTTGTTTGAGATAATTTAATTACTCAGCGTGTATATCATTGCTAAAATTCGGGATTAATAAAATATACATGTTTTTAGGAGAACATTTTTTGCGTACGTTTCTGACTTCGAACTGTCTGGAGTCATTGATCATCGGTTCATTTTATTTACAATATGTTTATTGCTGCCTAATATCTTTACTGTCGTGAATACGCCTCTAGAATTCATAAAAAACGCTAGTTGGTTTTAAGGGGTCCTACCCTCGAAATTATATCCTAAACTATATGACCGATCGTCCTGAAATTTCGTATAAGTATGAAAATCACGAAAAAGTTATATATTGCCCGTATGATTTTTTTTAAATAAATGATAAGTGAAACGGCAAATTCATAGAAAACGACATATATGAGGGCAATAATAAATTTATCCCCTCCTGCAATTTACGTGCTACAACGTTGAGGTACATTTCATTCGATTTATAACAAAATTATCTATCGACTCTAGAAGCCATTCTTTCGATATTTTCTTTTCATTCTTTCTTTATTCGACTTTTCTGCTTTTCGCCAAAATTTCGTCCCCTCCTTTTTGCAATATATAATCCAACCGTCAACAAATCAGAAAAAGGGCCTCCAGGCTTTTTCTCTGATTTGTAAAGAAAAATATTTTCTTTACAAATCTAATAACCTGTCTCTCCATACTGTAGCTTGAAAATAAAACGAGATAGATTTTTAAGATAGCTGATACTGGAGCCCAAGCTTTCCTTTTGCCAGTTACTCATATTGAGGATACCATCACGTGTGTATAGACTTATTATTGTCCCGTTTAACGCAAATAATTAGCTATTATTTTGATTGTTCTTGTATATTTATTTTATGCAAGTTTGATTGAAGACCAGAGCATGCTTTATATTAACAATCTTCGTGTTCGTCTTTTCGATGAGTCGAACCAAATTTCTAGCTGGAGCCGTGAGATCGAAAAGCAGGTTTTCGAATGATGTATATTCATTTATATATAATGGTAATTTTACAAAATTTCAAACGGCCTTACGCAAAAAGTATTGCATTGCATGCACAGACAGTTCCATGGTCAGGAAGATGTGCCAGGTGCGCGGAAATTTATTTTGTCATTTTAACGACCTGCGCGGTGCGCCGTACTATGCTGGTAAAAAAATGCGCCGTGCGCCGTACTTTAGAAAGCTAAAATAGTTTAAATATGGACGCGCGGCAATGCGGCTCTAATTAAATAAAGATCATTTCTTGTAGTATAATAAACATGAACACGCATCGATGTGCATCAGTGATGCACATCGATGCGTGTTTGCCTTCTTCAGTGAGCATTGTTTGCAGCTTCAAATGAGTAAAAAGACATGACAACGCGAATAATGATCTGTAAATGCAGATTTAATTAAAGAAACCTTTATATACATTGCTTATATAATGATCATTTTATAAAACTTCAAAACGGAAACATAATAAAAGCTGCTTAATATTTGTACTTAATTTCGCTGTTTCCGCTTAGTAATAGTTTCCCCTATAAAATGAGAGTATTAACGAAGAAAACGTAATTTTGTCGATTCTAGGGTAGACCACCTTAAAGTTTTTTTAGTTTGACTAGCATGGTGTTAGCGTGTTAAAAAAAGCTTTATTAACGAATCGTACAGGCTCTGTAAATATAGTTTATTGTTGTTCATGTTAGATGGGATTAGCGAACTACAAAAATTCCACAGCTTTTGCAGGCTCCAAGTGACGACGAATAAAAAAACTCGCTCTGTTGCTCTCCTGTCAAAATACAGCGGGTTTTTACCCGCGTCACTTTCAACTGCCCTTCGTCAATTGGCAGCGCGCTGAAGAATGTCTCAGAACCGGCTGACCAACTTTCTTAACAAGAGAAGATTTGTACCCTATCCTTGGCTCTTTTCCTAACATTGCTACTATTTACAGTTAGATTGCAGCTGAAACTAATGCTGGAAAAATTTCCTCAGTAACTTTCAAAAGCACAACTTTTGTATAATTTACTTAATTTCTACCTTTAGTAATGTTTATATAAGGAAAAAAATTTTGCTCTACGAATAGGTGTAAAAAGTAAGCTACGAAATCTTGCTATTCGAAGCCTTTCGCGCAGAAACGCAGGTTTTCGCTTTGAATAATATTCGAATACACTCATAAATATGAATACTCATACATTATAATAATCAGGAATTTGGATTACGCTATCTGTAGGACGGCGTAGAAATTTCTCATCGTTTAACTGCGCAGATATGAAGGATATATATGCCTGTTTCCAGCCTTCATACTGTGGCAAGAATTTCGACGAAATGAATGACCGGATTTGACATTTGGGGGGATGGCCCAGTTTGGACTTCTAGCGTCTGTGAGTGAGAGTCTTACGTAAGACTGCTGATGTTACCTGACATCAAGACTAAATTTTCTGTATTTATAAAGCTAAATCGGCAGTTCTGCTTTTACCATTAGTCACCACTCTCGACTTTGCACGGTCCCTCCGAAATATCCCTATTTTTACAGTTGTGGTTGATGCCCCAGGTGTGATATTGGTACCCCGACCCGAGGTGTGTGGTTAGTGCCCCTAAGTGTATGGTTAGTCCCGCCCCCAGGAGTGTGGTTAAGGTGCCTGTACAGGGAGACAGTACTGGCCGCCAGTTCATCCGCCGCTTGAACTGTCCACGCTACTAGCCTCGTGTATAGGTGCCTGTACACAGGGACAGTACTGGCCGCCAGTTCATCCGCCGCTTGAACTGTCCACGCTACTGGGCTCGTGTATAGGGGATCAGCCGCTTCAGAGGCATGTGCCCAAGACGCGGCCGAGAAGGACAACGATTTGTTGATATCTAATCATATCTTCGCTGGAGAATCGGCCAGTAGCGCTGATTCCGCCATGGTGAGAGTATTTATGCCGCTCATGTGAAATATCTTAGGTCAGTTGAATTGTCCCTTGTTTGAACGATAATGGTTTTAAGAAGAACCAAACAAAGTGGAGTACAGATGATATTCAATTGTTTTTGAGCTATTCCAAAAATATGAATAATTGTGGAATGTTTACCATGCTGGTTACTCCAACAAAATGAAGAGAGAAACGAGTATTTTGAAACTGAAAGAATACCTTATTAGTCAGGGTTTAGTTGTTCCCGACGTTGCATTTTTAAGGGCTACAATAGTATAAAAACGACGTACAGACTCGAGTTGTTGAAGGTGATCCCACTTTCCATTTTCACTGACCTCTCTCAACGGCTTCTAACGACGCACTGGTGGGCGCGAACGAGTTACCAGAAGATATCGGCATCTTATACTGTCCTCGTGTACAGGCTTACTAGCCGGATAGTCACCAAGCGGCCGACATTTGCCAGATCTACTTGTCGCCTGCACTGTCCCCGTGTACATTCACCTTTAGTGCTAGGGGCGTGGTTAGTGCCGCCAGACGTGTGGTTAGTGCCCCAGTGGTGTCACTACAGTGCCGGAAATGGCTATACGACCACCCAGTTTTCTCTAAATATTTTTTCCTGCACAAAAAATTTGAAGTTCTAATTATACGAGGTTAAACTCCGTTTAAAAACGGTTCCAACGCTATGCAAAAAAATAACTTTCTCACAATATATGAGAAAAAATTATGAAAATAAGAAACCTAGGTGGAAATGGTTATAAGACCAGTATAGGTTTTCTCCATTTTGTTATCTTTCTGTAATATTTTCACTTTAAACACTACAGCAATATAAAGAATATCTTGATTTTCGTCATTTAGGACCTTTCTGGTGTACTTCTGGTGTAGTTCAGTGCCCTCACTTATATTTTTTCGAAGTAAAAAATATGCCTAATGGGACAAGACTCACTGAGGCCGAGAAGGCGCAGATTTTCCTCTTTGTGAAATACGGTAGAAGCCAACGGGACATCGCAATGGGAATAAAACGCTCAAAACCCATGGCACAAGCATTTTTTGCTAATCCGGACGGCTACGGGTGAAAAAACACACTGCACGGCTATTCTTCGTTCATGGGATAAAATTTTTCAAAAGACACTGGATTATATTGTAAATAGCGTGGGGAGAAGATGAATTGAGGTAATTATGGCGAAAGGAGGTGAGAATGCATATTAAAAATACTTTAAAAAGACTTTAAAAAAACACGTTTTTCTTGTGGACTAAAAAGTAGAAAATAAATTATGGCTCGCCC